ATTAAGCACAATGAAAATATTAATAACAGCAGCACGAAAATAACTGAATCTTCAAAAAATCCGTTGTTTCCAATATTCCCCTCTCATTATCATTTCTTATAAAAATTAATAAATGAACCATGATACCAAAAAATCAATCACAGCTGCAGCAAAATGAATGAATCCTCAAAAAAATTCCTTGTCAATGTCTAGTCAAGAAACAAATCCCCACTCCCATCATTTCTTTACAAATTAATAAATGAAGCATAATTAAAATATCAATAACAGCAGCAGGAAAATTACTGAATCTTCAAAAAATCCTTTGTTTCCAATATTTCTCTCATCTTATCATTTCTTGGAAAAATTAATAAATGAACCATGATACAAAAAAAATCAATCACAGCTACAACAAAATGAATGAATCTTCAAAAACATTCCTTGTCAATGTTTAGTCAAGAAACAATGTTCCAATATCTCCCCCCCCCCCCCCCCCCCACTTCCCATCATTTCTCACGCTTCATTGCTTAAGCACCTAAAAAAGTCAGTCAGTCAGTCAGTCCATGGGTGAGCAAAAATTGAGCGGAAACTTTTTTTTTCCTTGAAAAATTTCATTTCTTATATATATCTCCAAAAATGCGAGGGGGTGCCCATCATTTCCCTGTGGAGCAGAACGCAAACATTCCAGGCGTCCCGTCGGGAACAGTGAGGACTCTGGTCATTAATAAACGTATGCTGAGCCTTGTGTATGTGTGTGTGTGTGTGGGGAGAGGAAAAGGGAAGTACAGTATAAGTAAGGAAGGAAGGAAAAAGTGTGTTGATCAGAGGTTGGAGGTGGGAGAGGAAGAGAAAGATGGGGGAGGGGGGGGGGGAAGAAACCGGGGTTCCTTTTTTTCTTCCCCCAATGGGCTCCCACCTGGAGTGTGAGAGAGCCCAAAGCATGCCCATGTGGTGTCTTGGGGGGGGGGGGGGGGGGGGGGGGGGGAAATAAAATAAACTGGGCGTGTGTGTATGTGTGTGTGTGTTTATTTGAACCGCTTTTAATTCGATTAAGAGGCTAGTTTTTCTGTTGCTACGCCCTCATCCCTCATCATTTACTGCATTGCTCTTTTTTCATTTTTTTAAATGCATACAATACTGTATGCAATATTGTATTCCCCACTGTGAGACGTTTTTGTTGTGATTTTTTTTAAAAGAAAATTTTTGTGCTATGGAGCAGGGCGATGACAAGTTGGAAACTTATTCAGTTTGTGAAGTCATTGCTGCGTATGCAGGGTGTATAGAAAAAAAATTATTTTCAAAGTTCTGGAATATTTTTTTGAGAGTACTGTACCTGGTGATTCAAGTGAAACTATGATGTTGTGTTTCAATTTTGGAAGCCCATTAGGTTGAGTACAATTTGGCTTCTAAGAACGTTGAAGGTTTTATTTGGTGAATTTTTTTCTGCTGACGTGTGGTAAAGTCCGTTATCCGGGGCAAAATTTTGATTTCATGGAATTTTGACTGCTATGAAAATTGATGGTTTTGGGCTGCTAAAAATATTGAAACTTTGATTTTGCTTGCCTTGCTCAGTAAAACTGGATGAGTTCCAGTGCATGGGGGGGAAGTCCATTATCCGGGGCACAATTACGATTTCATGGAATTTTGACTGCTAAGAAAATTTATGATTTTGGGCTGCTAAAAATATTGAAACTTTGATTTTGCATGCCTTGCTCAGTAAAACTGGATTAGTTCCAGTGCATGGGGGGAAGTCCATTATCCGGGGTACTTTTGAAATTTCAATGAATTATGGCTGCTGAGTAAATTGAAGACTGTACTTCGATTTGTGCGCTTTGGTTGATACAACTTGATCAGTTCCAATGCGGAGAGAGTCCATTATCAGAGGTATATTTTAGATTTTTAAGGATTATGACGAATGTTGCAGATTTTGTTTGCAATGCTGTCATTTTTTATCAAAGAGGAAAAAATTAAAAGTTAGCAACAATTTCCTCAATTGGCTTCACTTCAGTTGATTTTTCTGTGAATGAAGAAAAATTGAAAGTTGCAAATTTGGTTTGAGAAGACTCAGATGTAAATGGAGATAATTTCCAAATCTTCCATGACATTTAAATATCTACAGGACAATAATTTTTCATGGTGTCTTGTTTTCAGAAACAAAAATTCAAATGCGAAACTGTCAGTCTGAAGTTATTTCTCTCAAAAGTCCACAATGCGAGACATTGATTGTCAATATTCGTGGCACCACTGCACAGTACTATTCAAGGAATTTTGTTTAAAGTTCCCGATGGGGGGAATCATATCACAGGTGACTCGGGAAAACTTTCAATTCAATTTTCAGTGGAGAGCAGAATTTCCGAAAGTGTGCATGGAGGAAAGTTTTGATTTTGAGCCCTGGTCTGCAATCTGCAAAGTTTTTGAAAGTTTCGATTTTTAAAAATCTCCTCAGCACTTCTGTTTTGTTTTTCACATGTACAGTACTGTACCAAAAAAGTGTCCTTTTCTGTGGATTTTAGAATATTGCAAATATCTGTTTTGAAAACAAGATATATTCTGTCTTTCCCTCAGGATAATTTTTTTTAAAGAATTTTTTAAATCCAGGGCCAAGATGTCACCCTTTAATCAGCTGTGCATATGTTTCATAAAAAATCCTAATTTTTTAGTTATGGGATTTTGAAGACCTGATTATGTTTTTTAATATTAATTTTTGAAATCACCTCAAGGCAGTTACTTGACCCAAGATTTTTGGAATGCCCAGAACACATACTGAGCAGTACTCCTTCAAGGCAACAGAAGAAAAAGAAACACCCTTGCTGTGATTGCAGCAGGTGAGAGGAAATGTGGTCTATAAATAGCATGAAAGGAACCTTATTGATTCTCACATCCCTCAAAACAAACCTTGGCCATGCAAAAGGAAAAATGAGAAGAAGAAGGAAAAAAAGGGGGACACTGTTTCTCTTCAAAACTTATCATCATGACCATCTTTCATATTCTTCTCTCTTTCCTGCACCCGCCTCTTGAGAGGAAATTTGTTCCAAAGGAATTTCCTTCACACACAGCGTAAATCCTGCAGATAATCATCTTTAAATGGAGAAAAAAAATGTGTCTCTGTACTAGATCTTTTTCTTTTTTTTTAGGGCGGTGTCTTGATCAGTGATGCGGATAAGAGGTATGCTAGTTTGGGTGTGTTTGGTATGGTAGTGGGCGCACCTGGCAACACTGCTGAGAAGGTTTGCCTCAAACCCCTCCAGTTTTCGCCCTGATTACAGCAATGATATTGTAACCTCAAATTCATTGCTTAGGTTTTGAACCAATTGAAGATGTAAGGTATTTTTTTATGGGAAAAAGGGCATTAGTGAGGACATTTTTGGGTTGATGGTGGTTTATGTGTTTGGTACGGTATTTTCCATACCGCGGAATCTGGCAACACTTTCGAGGTGATTTTTTTTAAATTGTTGAAATCCTAATTTTTTTCTCTTTTTATGGTGAACAAGAGGGATTCATTTTTTTTGCGGTTGTTGATCTTCAAGTGAAAGCAAATTTTTATGATATTCTTTGAAAATTCGTTTTTTTTCAATTCCTTGAAAAATGTGCGAGAAAAATTATTTTGACAAAATGGGTTGAAGAAGGGGTTTCTATTTTAACTAAGCTGGGATTATGAGAAATTATCAATGAATGAGTTGACGCGAATTGATAAATTGGCAAAATTGAAGTTTCTTGATTTAGTTTGTTGTAGCTTCGGTTTTCACGCGGGAGGTCCCGGGATCGAATCCGTGTCCCGGATGATTTTTTTTTTCATCCGCCATTCTTATCTTTCGTGGGTTAGTCTTCGATTTATTTTTATTTTTGAAGGATGAGGATTCTAATAAAATGGGTATCGTTTAAATTTTCCTGGACGGATTTTTTTGCACTCCTTCTATAAATGCTAATGAGTAAGTTTTTTCAACGGTTTCCGAAGCGGGATTTTTTTCTTTTTCGTGGGAAATCCTTTTTTTCGTGTTTTTGTTCCGTTGGCTTGAGTCACAGTAGGTGGCTTTAACGGATAATCCGGAAAGAAGATGAAGTTCCTGGAATTTTCGCTTGGTTCAACCATGGAAGTATTTGTTTTAATTTTCCGAAGAATACTTCTTTTCGTGTCTGATTTTCAGAAAATGTTTTTTTTTTTTTTGTGTCGTGGCAAAAAATATGACGGAGTCCTCTCAGCTGATTAAGACGTGATCGAGACTCGAGTTAATTTTAAAAATCGTTATTTATTTTTAGGATGAGTCCAATGCTTGAATTAAATACCTGTATATATTTTTTTCGAAGTCGATTGACGCCCATGGTTCATCATCTCCTAAACAAATTTAATTCTCCGTCACTTTTAATTCCATTTTTATTATTTTCGGATTATTTTATCCACGAGTTTGATTTTTTTTCCATGGAAGAAATTTGATTGAGTCCACGTCTGTTCTACGCGAAGAAGTGATGATGGTTTAGAACGATTTTTAAAATTTTGGGATTCATTTCTTTTTTCCCGAAAATTCGGTCGAATTGAATGCTGGAATGAATTTTTTTTTCTGGGGTTAATTGACACATCACATGTTTTTTCCCGCGTTCTTTTAACATTTAAGACGTGATGAAGGTCAAGAATTATTTGTGGCAATAATTTTAAAAATTTTTCAATACTGTATATTTTTCCGGAGAATGAATGATTTCTGGAACGCAATTTTTATTTCGCCGAAGTTCGATAGATACCCGTGTTCCGTCACCTTCCTGAACAATTCTAATTCTCCGTCGCCTTCCATCATTATCATCGTCATGTTTTTCTTTCTCTCTGCTGCAGTTCTTGAAGAAACACAATTTTTATTTTATTTTTTAATGTCATCAAGAAAAGGCGATTGATTCCGTGTCACTCGCGCATCTCATCTCACTGCCTCTTACAAGCCCCCTGCTCGCTTGCATGTGACAGAAAACACACACACAAAAAATAAGAAGAAGAAGAAGAGAAGAGCAGTCGGTGACAAGTGAATCTTTTAGTCGGCTTAATGGGCGGCCCTGGGTCGGTCCGTCCGTCGGCTGGCCGCCTCGTTAATTGGGACGGCCGACGGAAACCCGGCGTCCCTATAGTGGAGGGGGGGGGGGGGGGGGACAGTAATGAATGAGGGGCGATGCCGCAGAAAAGATCTCCTTCGATTTTCATTGCTCATTAACGTTTTGCGGGTTGTGTACAGGAGAGTAGTTGTAACAGGAGGAGGAGGACGGAAAAGGTGCGCTGGTCAACTCAGCGCTGTCCAATTGAGCGCCGACACAGAGAGAGAGAGAGGAAAAACATGTACTGTACCGTGAGACCCCGAGATGCGGACGTAATTGGTGCATCAAGAGTGTCCCCAAGTCGAAATGTCCCTAAATTGAGTCTCATTTTCCCTTAGACTTGCATTATATAATTTTTAATTGTTGTCTTATGTTCAAAATACTCACCATAATTTTATGAAAATAAAAAATTGAAACTGATTCCAATCAGTATATTTCAACACAATATGGACATTTTGGGCAATTGAATACTGATACCTCATCTGCACAGTACATAGAAATGTGGTTGGCATTCTCTGTAAAAAAAAAAAAAAAAAACATTCAAGTGAAGAAGTGCAGAGAAGGAAGTCCCTTTAATAGAATAGTTTTTAATAGAAGAACAAATTCAACTCACACAGGAGTTGAGCATTATTGAGGTTTCAATTGAGTGAATAAAAAGAAAATGATGAGTTTTGATTCCCCCCCCCCCCCCCCCCCTCCTTGGCGCTCATTTGTACTCTGGTGGGCCAGTGGAGTCTGACTTGACCCTGCACCCATCATTTTAATATCAAGAGTGTAGTCAGTAGGTAGGTTAGGTTCAGCAACCCCTGGTGATGCCCATCAGGCTTCGTTATCTCTTGTGCTCACAAACCACCCCTGATATCAAGATCAGAAAGAAGAAGAAGAAGAAAAAAAACAGGAAGGAGAAAAGAATCTTCTTCTTCTTCAGAGATGGAGGCCTTTTAATTGGATCATTTGTTCTCTGATCTGGGCTTCTGGTTTTTTTTTATTTATTTTTTATTCTCCATGGACACTTGGAGCAAGCTGGGGGTCATGTTTTTGATCCCCCCCCCCCCCCGCTTCAACATTTTTATATATACTGTGTCTCGTTGAGAGATTTTTATCTGATGAAACATCAATGCTCATCTGTCTTTGTTAAGTCGCCTTGATTGCTACCGGTTATTCATCCCGATTCCCCCCCCCCCCTTATACAGACACACACACATTGGTCATCATCAATAAACGAAAAATATGAATTAATAAATGAGATGATGGATGAGATCAAGAGAAAGAGAGAGAAAATGGTTGACATTTTCGCAGATGAAAACAGGATATTTGTATTTTTTCTGATTATGATATTTATATTTTTTGCTTATAGAGGAAAATTTGTATCTTTCTTATAGAGGAAAGAGAAAATTGAATTGAGAATTCTAGGGGTTTTCAATAGCATTGATAATTTTCTGGTTTTTTTTGCATTGAAGATTTTAAGGCATTCAACTGTTTTTTTCTTCTTTTTTGAATATCATGAAGTGGCGGTCCTTCATATACCCGTTCCAAAGAATGTTCGTTTATTTTTTGTTGAATTTATTTTCTATTCGATTTGGAGTTTTTGAATTTCTAATCATTTCTCTTTTTTCGGATGAAAAAAAGAAAGAAGTGCGCGAAGATATTTTACAACGAATCTTTCAATTGCATTTCGATACCAAATTGAGAATTTCATGAAGTGGCGTTTTTTCCAAGTTCCGAAGATTGTCCGGTTATTTTCTGTTGAATTGCAATTTTTTGTCTCAAGTTTCTGATTTTTAATGAATTACTATTTTTATATCATTTTGTGTACATATTTTACAAAGCTTCTTTCAATTTAATTTCGATTCCGAAATGAGAATTTCGTGAAGTGGCGTCTTTTTCAAGTTTCAAAGAATTTCCGGTCAGTTTCTGTTGAATTATTTTTTTTTTATCTCAAGCTTCTGATTTTTAAACAATGCCAATTTTACTTTGTGTACATATTTTACACCGAATCTTTCAATTGAATTTCGATTCCAAATGTAGAATTTCATGAAGTGGCGTCTTTTTCAAGTTCCAAATAAATTCCGGTCATTTTCTGTTGAATTATTTTGTTTTTCAAGTTTCTAATTTTTTATCAATTGCCATTTTTATTTTATTTTTATGCATATTTTACAAGGCTTCTTTTCAATCTAATTTCGATTCCAAATTGAGAATTTCATGAAGTGGCGTCTTTTTAAGTTCCAAAGATTGTCCGGTTATTTTCTGTTGAATTTTTTTGTATCTCAAGTTTCTGATTTTTACTCAGTGGGATTTTTTTATTTTGTGTACATAGTTTACGCCGAATCTCTCAATCTAATTTCGATTCCAAGTTGAGAATTTCATAAAGTGGCGTCTTTTTCAAGTTCCAAAGAATTTCCGGTTATTTTCTGTTGAATTATTTGTTAATCGCAAGTTTCTAATTTTTAATCAATTGCCATTTTTATTTTATTTTTTATGCATATTTTACAAGGCTTCTTTCAATTTAATTTTGATTCCAAATTGAGAATTTCATGAAGTGGCGTCTTTTACAAGTTCCGAAGATTGTCCAGTTATTTTCTGTTGAATTGCAATTTTGTATCTCAAGTTTCTGATTTTTGATCAATCGCCAATTTTTTATTATTTTGTGTACATATTTTTCACCGAATCTCTCAATTTAATTTCGATTCCAAAATGAGAAGTTCATGAAGTGGCTTCTTTTTCAAGTTCCGAAGAATTTCCGGTTATTTTCTGTTGAATTGCAATTTTGTATCTCAAGTTTCTGATTTTTAGTCAATTGCCATTTTTATTTTATTTTGCGTGCATATTTTACACCGAGTCTCTCAATCTAATTTCAATTCCAAGTTTGAAATTGTATGAAGTGACGTCATTTTCAAATTCCAAAGAATTTCCGATTACATTATTTTCTTTTGAATTGAAAATTTTTTATCGCAAGTTTCCTATTTTTAATCAATTGCAATTTATTTTTATTTTTTGCTCTTCTCAGATGGAAAAGGACAACGAGTACGCCAACATCTACCAGCAAATGCCGGGCGGGCCCGTGGCCGGCGGCGGTCAGCCGACGTGCTGCAGCCTCGTGGCCACCGCGGCGCCGCTGCCGCCACTTCCCCCTCCGTGCCACTGCGCCGCCCTGCAAATGCAGCAGCAGCAGCAGCAACACCACCACCTGGTTGGCGGTGATGCAAACCCCGTCGTCATCGCCGCCGCTGCCAACAACAACAACCACAACGACACCATGACCCCGAACAACGCGACGACGACGACCGCTGCCCATTTCGTGCCGCACCTCCACCCGCATCACCACCATCATCACCACCACCACCACCACGTGCACCCGCATCACCACCCGCGACTCCAGGGCCTGTCGAGTGACTCGGACTACAGGTCCGTGTACTCGTCGAGTTCCTCGCTGTACTCGATGCCGGTGTTTCATCAGCAACCGCCACCTCCTCCGCCGCCTCCACCGCCACCACCACCACCATCTCCGCCGCCACCGCCGTTGCCGCCGCAGAACAATGGCAGTGGGAACGGGAATAATCCGGCGGGTGTGATGATGGTGGGGTCGCCGGCGCGGATGGCGGCTTTGGTGGGGGCGGCAGCGGCTCATGCCGCGCACGGAGGCGGGCATGGCGGCGGTGGCCATGGGCCAGCTGTCGTGGTGGACCCGAGTCGGCTCCAGATGCGCAGTCCCGTGAGCTCGTCGGCCGCCACGTATTCGGACAGCAGCCAGTATGGCACGCACAGTCCGATTGCTCTCATCAGGGACAAGGTTTGTGCTGGAATTTGTTGTTGTTGTGGGTTTTTGTTTTGTTTAAAAAAAAAGAAAGAATGACGAAGTGAGAAATATATTGAGTAGTGGAGGTTGAATTGGTTGGATTAAAAAAGATACATTTCGTTTTATATTTTTCATGTTATATACTGTATTCTTTTATTTTTGAATTTTGTCAAGTCGTTTCCAATTTTTTTGTTGGGATTTTTGGAGAAAGGAGAGAGAGAGAGAGAGAGAGAGCAACAATTGTATGAGGTAAAAAGAAAAGCGTGGTTTCTATTAGTTTGTGTGGAATATATTTTTTTAAATATTTTGTGAAGTTGTTGCAAAGGTTTTGTTGGGATTTTAAAAATCTGAGTAAGAAGAGAGAGAGAGAGGGAGAGTAACAACATTGAAGAAGTGTTTGGAGTAGAACAAAAAGCTTGGGTTTTTACTGTGTGAGAAAAAAAATTAAGTAAAAAGTATAAGTATTTATGTTTGGAGTAGAACAAAAAGCTTGGGTTTTTTTACTGTATGAAATAAATATTTTTTTTTTATTTCACACAGTAAAAAACCCAAGCTTTTTTTTCTACTCCAAACACTTCTTCAATGTTGTTACTATATATTATATATACTGTATTATATACAGTATATATAACAATTATACAGGAATTATACAGTACTGTATAATTCACTTATATATATATATATATATATATATATATATGTGAATGATACAGTACTTGAATTTACATGTGTGCAGTATATTTCACACATATTAAAAAACCTCAGAAATATGTATTTATGTTTTAATTTTAAAAAGAACCACTTTCACGCAATTTAGATTTTTTGGGTTTTTTTATATCTTTATTTTAGTTAGTTATAAATTTGCATTTGCAGATGCCAAGATTGTAGTTGGAGTTGAGTTTTGGGTAGAATTTCAGTTGAAAGATATTCATTTCAAATTTTCCAAGATATACTTCAAGTACTTGCTATGTTTGATGAGAACACATTTTTTTCATTGTCTGGTATTCAGTATACTGTATTGTTATTTATTTTTACCTTCAGAGAAAAAGTTGTATTTTTTTATTCTGTGTGGTTTCCAATCAATCAATCAGTTTGATTGAAATTCTTCTTAATGAATGAATTGAGTGAAAGTGACTGAATATTTGGGCTAACGAGCTTGAATGTGGCCCCAATTAGATTCCTAATTCCTCTGGTACGAGGTACCAGAGTGTTCGAATTCCCGGTTTGTTTTTTTGTTTTTTCCTGTGTAGCCTAGAGTGGTCCTTTTCTAACACTTCATGCTGTGTGATAATGACCCGCTTTATGAGAATAGGCTTTGGCACCATTTTAAAAGATGGCTGATCTTTTAAAAATTGGCCTAATGATCTCTGAACCATCCAGATGCTCTTCACACAAGAAAGAAATAAAAATATATTGAAATCACTGAGATAAAGACAGACTGACAGACAGAGATAATCTTGCAGTTATTGATTTTTTGTGCCGTTTTATTTTGCACTGTCCCTGAATCTCATGTTTATATTTCAGTACATAGGTGTCGCTTGTATCTTGTGATGATTTATTTTCTCTAGTTCAAGTGAATGCTGGCTGTCCCAAACTCTTAGGTTTAGATTTCATTTCATAGGTGTCGCCTGCATTTTTAAAAGCATTTATTACACCTTTTGCAAGTTCTTGCCTGTTGTGTGTCCCTTAATCTGGGATTTATATTTCTTTGCATAGGTGTCGCTTGTATCTTGGATTTAGTTCTCCCCCCCCCCCCATTGAACTTTCAACTGTGTGTGTATACAGTACATAGATCTTCAAGTACAGAGAGACCCCCACATGCGGACACCTTGACATGCAGACAATTTGACAAAGGGACATTTATTTTCCCATAAAAAATTAATACAAAAAGGCCTGATATGAGGACACTGACTCAACATAGGTACATTTTGGGATAAAATTGCATATAAGTTTCAGGCCAAATTACAAGAAACAGATATATCCAATCCTAAAATTGGTGTAAAAAAATTTCTTGGGCATTTCTCTCAACAATTTACCATCCATTTAGCTAATTTAAACAATTACCTCCAGCATAATGGGACATCCTTCTCTCTTTTTCACTTGAATGTTATTTTTAAAGATAATGCCTGCATTTCTATGTACTGTAAAGAGGTATCAGTATTCAATTCCCCAAATGTCCAAATTTTTTTGAACTATTTTGATTGAAACAGTTTAAATTGGGAGACAATTTTTATTTTCATGTAATTATGGTGAGTATTTTGTCCATAAAACACCAATTGAAAATTATATAATGTAAGTCTAAGGGAGAATGAGACTCAACTTAGGGACATTTTGATCTAGGGACACTCTTGATGCACCAATTATGTCCACATCTTGGGGTCTCACTGTATTGGGTGGATATTTCATTGCATAGATATGTAAAAACGTCTNAATGTAAGTCTAAGGGAAAATGAGACTCAACTTAGGGACATTTTGATCTAGGGACACTCTTGATGCACCAATTATGTCCACATCCTGGGGTCTCACTGTATTTGGTGGACATTTCATTGCATAGATATGTAAAAACGTCTTTCCCATTTATTAAAATCCATTTGTATTCAAAAAATGATGTTACATCTTGTTCCAAAAAAAAGGTAAATGTTTACACTACTCTAAAGAAACCATTTTGTGATTCCCCTTTCTTCATACTGTATTTTGATTTTTTTTTGTGCTTTTGTTTTGCCAGGTGAGCGATGCCAGGAAGCTGGTGGAGTACCTGCCGTACCACTCTGCCGCCAGGTGCGGAAGCAAGCGAAGAGGCGCCACTGGCACCACCACAGACTGCGACCCTTCCTCCCTCATGGCCGCCACCCACTGCTCCAACAACAACATCAACAACTCATCCGTCCTCTCGACAGCGACCACGACGAGTTCCATCGCAACCCTGCCTGCTGGTGCTGGTGGCACTCTTGCCAACGCCACCACCAACACCACGCCGAACGGCAAAAGCGCCTGTCTCAAATACACCATCCAGGGCTCTTTGTCCCACCAACAACGTCGCTACTTGACCACCAACGGCGTCGTCCAGCAACATCAACAACAGAATAATAATAATAATAATAATCATCACCAGCAGCAGCAGCAGCAGCGACCACAAGTGCACCATCACCACCCGCACCACAATAATCATCACCACCCGCACCACCACCACCTGCACCTTCATCACAACCAAGAGATCTCTACCATTTCCGGAGCTGTGATCCCGGATCCCACTTCAGACAAGTGCGTGGCGGCGTCCAATGCCTCGTCGGCGTCGAAACTCAAGTCGTCGTCGTCGTCGGGTAACAACCTTTTGTCGCGGTTGTTTCACTGGCGGCACCGGCGACGGAATAACGGCGCCTCGGGTGGTGAAGAGGCGCCTGGAGGAGGAGGATTAGGCGCAGGTTCAGGTGGTGGAGGAGCAGGAGGAGGAGTGATCCCGACGTCGTTTTCCTCGTCGTCTTCGTCGAATGGTTCTTCTTCTACTTCGTCGTCGTCTTCGTCGGGGAATCATTTGTTGTCGTGGAAGCGAGTGGGTGTCGTGGCTGTGCCCGTCGGCGTCGTGTTGGTGTTGGCCGTGTTGGGACTGGTGTTGTACTTGACGTTGGGCCAGCGAGCGAGTTCCAGGGCGCAAGAACTCGTGACTCCGATCCGGACCGGCGGCGGCGGTGGCGGCGGCAATGAGGGTTCGTGACTTGCCGCCCTCCTTCTCCTTCTTTTTTTTTTTTTTTTTTTTTGGATGATGATGATGATTTTTCTATTTTGTCTTCTTGTGGGTCTGTGTGGTGTTGGCATCCCGTTTTTTGAGGCGTGTGTTGCGCAATGATAATTTTTTCTCTCTGTCGAAACTCGTGAACGAAAGAGAGAGACAGAAGAAGTTTTAAAAATACTGTACTGTAGTAAATACTGTCGTAGAATCTCGTAACACGAATTAATGCTTAGGAGGACATTTTTGTCCCTGTTTTTAATTATACTGTATTTCCAAATAAATTGTAGAAAAAAAAGACAGTGTTCCAGTTCAAAGTTATCGAGTCTCGGAAAATTGATATTTTCTCAAAAACAGTGTCAATGCCATTTTAATTCAATTTTTGACGATTTTTGTGGGGTTTTTTTTTTGGTCGAAAACGCTTCGTTGTAACGATATATTGTACTACTGTGATACTTTTTTTAAATAACCAAGATGGAATATTTACACTTGAAAGAAAAATTGTTATCTTTTCTTCTCTTTAAAAATGCAAATTTAGTTTTTTTTTTTTCTTTCTGAAAATTTTTAAAGTATATGTAGTAGAAGAATGTGGAAATGGGAATTTGGCGGAAAGAATCGGATGATGCTGAATATCGTTTCTAAATGAAAGATGTACAAGTAGTTCGAAGTTTTCAAACGCAATTAAAACGCAATTTTAAAATTTTATCGGAAGATTATGATGAGTGGAATATAGAAAAGAAACTTCGAGTCAGAAAAAAAAAAAATTCAGAGATTAATAATTTAGTTTGAAAAGAAAAAAGCGGAGTGAAGAATGGATTGCATTTTTAAATAAATCGTAAAAAAGTGGACTGTTGATTGGAAGTTATCGTGTCTCGAAAAAATTGATACTTTTTCGAAATTGCCAATTTTAATGTCGAAAATATTAATTATTGTAATTGAGGTTGTCCTTAATTTTTCAAGTGTGTTCATCGTCAGTTTAATTTTGTTCATTTTTTACAATTTTATTTCGAAACGATATTTTAACACTTTCCCGAACCGTTTTTCCACGTGTGTGTTTATTTTGTTGCGCAATTCTCAAACTTGCCCTGGGGGGGTTTTTTCCCTCGATTATGGGAAGGAAGAGTAATTTTTCTCCCACACGAAAATCGTGTTTTTTCGGGGGAGGCACGATTGCGAAACTGATCCACTGATTATATGGACTCGCTCAGTCAAGTGGGAAAGAGAGAAAAATAGAGACGATCCAATGCTCACCCAATCACACCTTTTTTTTTGGCAGAGAACATTATTTTTGAAAATTATTTTAAACGTTTTGCTCTTGAGAAATGCGTGGCTCAGAGGTTGATTTTATTTATTTATCTTTTGGATAAGGAAAAATTTGACTCATGAAGATTTGAGTTACTTTGGTTTGAACTGTATTAAATTATCTTTGATTTGTTTGCGTAACTAATATTTGATTTTATAAAATTTGAAAGTTAGCATTTTTGATGCCGAGGGAAATTTTTCATGCGATGTGTAATACTTGCAATTCCTGGATTTTTTTTTGGCACACATGATATTTTTCAAAAAAATAATTTTCTGATTTATAGTTCAGAATTTGATTGTTTTCTTCTTTTCCTCTAGATCTGATATCTGTGATCAGCGCCCAGTTCCGGATCACCAATCAAGAGTATGTTCGAGCTTACAACAACAGCAAGTCGCGGGAATTCGCAGAGTTTGCTGGCCACATAGAGCGACAACTGGACGCGCTTTTCGGAGACGAATACCCCCAGGCTTACGCTGGTTGCCGCGTGGTGTCACTGCTGTCGGGTTCTGTTCGCGTCCGAGCCCATCTCTTCCTACACTCCCTGTATGAGCCTGTTGGTGCTGTGGAATTGGGCAAGAGGTTCTATGAGAGTCTCAGGAATCTTCATGGACGCATGTGGCTGGGCCAGTTTGCTGTTGACATACGGTCTATTTTGTTCACTGGTGGGTTTTTGTTGATGCAAATTCATTAAAAAAATGTATGTATACACTCCCAAGTGGGGAAATTGGTGCACATTGGGGATGTGTTTGTAATTCTACATGGTGACCCTGCTGTGCACCTAAAGTTTACCAAGGTTCTTCTGTTGCACATGCATATCCTCAATGTGCACCAATTGTGTGTTCACACCAGGATTACTCAGGGTCATATTTGTAAACAAATAAGTTACACAAAGGTTACAGTTGGTGCATTTGTGTGAGACTCCTGTTATGTTGCATTTGTGCACCAAATGTAGCCCAGGTATGGTAGCAAAATTTCCGCTATAGGAGTGCACACTTGTAACTCCAGAAAATCTCATGTGCACCAGTTGTGACCCTGGTGTGCACCTACTGTGGGGTAACAGAAAAAATAGCTCCCCACTCAGGCTGTTTTACCAGTGGTACCTTGCAATTTAACCTCCAGCAAATGAAGCGTTGACTGTCCTGGGTGGTTGACGATAAATTTGATCCCTGTCCTGCAATTTGACATGCTTCAGCCACTGTTCTAGTAAGTTTGTGCTGTTCTTACTTAATTTTATGAAGTGCCTTGCAATTTGAGCCAGGTCCAGACAACAGATTGAGGGGTACCACCCCTCAGTACAAATATTTGTCCCTGATTCTTTGCATAGACCATAATGGCTATTCAGAAAATTGATTTAAAAAAAAGGAAAAGATTTCAACTTCATTGAAGAAGCAAATTTTCTGTCCAAAGGAGACTTTTTGTGCAAAGAAAAATGCACAACATGACATTTCTGTTGTTGAAATTCTTTAGCTCCATTTTTGAATGTATGCCTTTCTTTCAAATAAACAGTGTGTCGGAAAAAAAGTTTCCTCTTTTTGAAAATAGCAGAGATGTATGAATGAATAATTAGTTTCAGAAGGAAGCACATTATTCCTACCACATGTAAATTTGTTTTTCAAGACAGACAACACTTTGGTACAATGGCAGGTTTAATGAAAGAAAACTACTATTCATTGCAAAAGTTTCCTCTTTAATTTTATCAGAAATGCTCATCAATTATGTCATTTCCTTGAAGTATCTCTGTTTGAAGCACTTCACAGTATTTATGACACATTTCCCACCAAATATTTCAGTCTTAAACTTTTTCCTGTTCAAAGAGAAATGCACAACATGACATTTTTGTTGTTGAAATTCTTTAGCTCCATTTTTGAATGTTTGCCTTTCTTTCAAATAAACTGTGTGTCAGAAAAAAAGTTTCCTCTATTTGAAAATAGTGAGAGGTATGAATGAATTCGTTGTATCAGAAGGAAGTACAGTATTTCTTTAGGTGCAATGATTCTTCAACTTGATGAAAATCATGAATCTCCATGAAAATAAATTTTCCTTGTATTGAATAAGTTTTTATTGTGTCCCTGTGAGTTCATTGTAATGAGATTTCCCTGTACTGAACAGTATCATAAAGTCCTGTCTGTCTTGTCTTGCAGGGATAGAGAACCCGCTGTTGGGCGACCCCATCAGAGACCACGAGGACGACCCTCTGCCCACGATGCCGCCACTCACGACCCTGGACCCCGAGCAGCGGTTCTTCCAGTCGCCCAACTGGGGGCCATGGGGGCCCTGGTCCTCGTGTCCACCGCCGGGCATCCAGTGCACCTCGCCTCCAGCTGCCCAAGAACGAACCCGGACCTGCAACCTGGACAATGGCCGAGGGGACACGATTGACTCGATTGAACAATGCCTGGTGTTGGGTGGAGGGGACATCGAGGTGCGGAATTGTTCTTGCGCGTCGCGGATCGTGACAACGACGTCGAAAACGATGATGATGATGACGACGACGTCGTCGACGATTTTGACGACAGCTGGTGGCGGTCCGTCGTCGACGGCGAGTGGAGTGTCATCTAGTGGTGGTGGTGGGGTGAAGAATGGTACCCTGCTGGTGTCCAGCAGCAGCAGCAGCACCTCTACTATTGCTAGTACTACTGAGAGACAAGAGCTTGTGGCTGTTGAGAGGATTGAGGAGGAGCAGGTGAGAAGAAAAAATGGCTGCCATTTTTGTTGTTGCTGTGAAATGGAAGAAAAAAAAACAGGTTGAAGAGGGTTAAATTTGGTGTATTGACACAAGAGATTTTTTTTTATATTTTAACATCATTGGAATTGTTGTTGTAGAAATCTTTTGAAATGTTTGAATGCATTTGAAAAGAGCTTAAGCCAAGAAAAGAGCCCTGGTGGAATAAGATCACAGAGCTATTTGCACTCTGGTTTTTCTTCTTCTTTTTCAATTGACAAAGGAGCAATTTTGGCATTCAGATCATTGTGTTGTTGTTTTCCTTGTCAAGTTGGTGCACTTCTCCTGCAGATATGAAAAATTGTGTGGATGTCACAGAATTTGAGGCTTAAAAAAGAGCCCAGGTGGAATAAGGTCACAAAGCTCTTTGAGAAATTCACAAACGTATACACAAATGTTGGAGATGTTTTTTTGATTGGAAAGAGCAATTTTGTAATCAGTATTGTATTTGTTGTTTCCTTTTCAAGTTAATCCACTATCCATAGAAATAAAATGTTGTTTTGGTTGGCAAAGAGCAAAAGTCAAGAGAATAGCCCAGGTGTAATAAAATCACAGAGCTGATTGAGAAGCACACAATGTTTTTTCTTTTTGCATTTTTCCTTATATAGAAAAAGGAGCATTTTTTTGGGATTCAGTTAATAATTTTTGTTTTCCATGTGTACAATAGTCATTGTTCCTGAGTAAAAGAAAATTTTGAGTGCGTGTCACAGAGCCTAACTGAAGAAAATATCCCAGGTGGAATAAAATCACAGAGCTGTTTTAAAAGTATACGAAAACTAGTTTGGTTTTTCTTTCTTTCATGTGGGGAAAAAACTATACTGTGTTTGGATTCAGTTTATTGTTTTGTTTTCCTTGATTGATAATTGATTATTTTGGAGAACATATTTTTTTTAATGTCAAAAAGCTTGAGAAAATGAAAGAGCCCTGGTAGAATAAGACCAAAGAGCTGTTCATAAATGCGCATACATTAGTTTGTCTTATTAATTTAAAAATTATATATTAATTAAAAAATAATTTTAAAGCATATTATCATTTAAAGCAAAATTAAAGCATATTATTTAAAAAATAATTTTGTTGTGTTTATTTGTCCTTCTCAAGTTGACAAATTTTCCCTCTTGTCCAGAGAACAAAATGTGATTGTCCTTTTTTTTAATGACAGAAAACAAACGTGTAAAATGTTTTTGAATTTGATTTTTTTATTGTACTGTATTTTTGAATTCATTTGTTTTTTTTTAATGATGTTTAATAATGACTTTTTTTGTTTTGTTGAAGGTGAAGAGCAAGTGCGAGAACTGCCGGCCCGAAGAAGTCTGCGTGGCCGTGGCCGGAGAGGCGTACCCGACGTGCCGCCCCGCCAAGGACGCCGGCGACCCCACCGGCTGCGGCGGCCTGTGCAAGATGGACCGCGAGGTGTGCCAACGCCTGGACGGCGAGTCCGGCGCCGCGCGTCGGTGTCTGGACGCCAGCTTGTGTCTCGCCGACGAATGGAAGTGCAGGAACGCACTGTGTATCCCGCTGGAGAAGCGGTGCGACGGACACTTTAATTGCTACGACCACACGGACGAGATGGACTGCGGTACAGAGTTCATTCATTGCCCTTTTTACTGTAATGATTTTTATGGTGTACACTGAGAATGTATTGTAATTGATCTATTTTCATTTTCTATTTATTTTTTCACTTCTAATCCTTTGAGAAGTAAAATGAAAAAAATGGAAAAGAAGTGAAAAAATATGAAATGAATTTCCTTCTTCTCAATATATATGTATTTTTTAAATGAGTACTCAAGAAGGGGGACCTCGGTTAATGGACTTGATGCCTAATATTGTACTGTACTGTACAGTACTACAGTAGCGGACCTTGAAACAGCGTTTTCGTTGTAATCATTGAATTCGTTATAACGAATGTCTGCTATAAATGTACATATGTACCTATTCCCTTCTTTTCTTTTTTTAATTTCTTGAGTCTGAAACAGTTTTCCTTCTTGTAAACTTTCAAATTGAGGAATTAATGAGGGTAACTCAATTACTTTGTGAAATACAGTATTGAACTATTGAATTCTATACTATTGAATACTATTGAATTTGTGAGGGTGTTCAAGAGAACCCTTTTTTGTTGATGATGAATTTATGTTGTTAACTTGAATTAAATGTTTTAAAATTGTTAAAAAATATAATTATTACTAATAAATATTAGTACAGTATATAAATAATATATATATACAGTATATATATATATTAGTATTATTGTTTTAAAAATTGTTTTATAATTAATTGATTATATTTTGAGGGAATCTTGTTTTTCATTGTTGAGGGATTTCAGATTAATCTTAATTTTTGTATGTATTTTTATTGACGATTTTAAAAGGTACGATGTGTGGATCAGGAAATTCCGTTGAGAAGAATCAGTGACGAATTTTATCATTTATAATTATTTTATTTTTTCAATTTGTACAGAATGCGACGTGGCGACCCAATTTCAGTGCGGGAACAAAACTTCGTGTTTGCCCATCGATTCTCGGTGCAACGGCTTTGTGGACTGTTGGGACGGATCCGACGAGCAGAACTGCACTTTGCGTAAGTTTTTCATCTTTTTGAAATCAATACTTGTATTCCAGCATATTCCGTGTTTTTTTCAAAAATTTGAAATTGAAAATTGTTGCGTGTGTGTTACAGCGGAGAAACAGGCGTGTGAAGTGTCTGAACACAGTTGCGGCAATGGGCAGTGCATCCCCATGAACCGATTCTGCGACGGCTACAAGGACTGTGCTGATGGCACCGATGAACCCGTTGGTTGTAACGGGGAATGCATGGCCCAGGAATTCCGTTGCAAGTCAGTACATTATTATTGTGAATAAAGCTTGTCGTTTCGCATCTTCCCTAATTTTTGGATAGGTGTCACTTCTACTTCTAATGGCATTTCTAATCGTTGATCAATAATGAGGCAATTCTGTGTCTCATGAATTATTTGTGGGTGTCTACTTGTACAGTAATTTCCATTTTTCTCAACTTATGATGAATAATCCCAATGAGTGAGGCAATGAACTTTATCTGAAAAGGAGCATTTACAAAATTTTTCGAAACAAATGTAGTGTAAAGAATGATTGCAGCATTACAATAATAATTTAGGAATACAATTTATGCATTCATTTCAATATTTGCAAGAAATTAAATGAATAATGCTGTATTTGAACATTTGATTTGAGAATATTGAGAATTTTATTTTTATTACATATAACAATTTAATAATACTGTAATTGCAATTTGTCTTTAAATATTGCAATTATAATTCAGTTAAATTAAATTATTCAATTAAATTTCAAATTTAAATCATTCCACCCTCAACCAAAAAAAAGTCCAGAAATTATATCGCTTTGACATGCTCAAGCACGTTGCGCTGGACTTCCTTTAGTTTGGTTGTTTTCTTTCCATAGTCTCCTAATTCAATTGCTTCTTCTTGCAATTTTGCAGAAATGGTCGTTGCATCAAGAAATTGACAGTCTGCGACGGCTACAACACGTGCGACGACAACTCTGACGAAGCCGACTGCGGGTTTCATGTCTTGGACGACACTCGTGGCACTGCACGGCATCCAGGTAATATACTAGTTGCTAACTTTCAACCCGTTCGCCTAGATGTCGTTTTATCTGACCCTCATGTTTTTTTATTTCTCGTTTTGTAGGCGGATGTAATGGGTCCTACAAGTGCGCCCGTTCTGGGTCCTGCATCCCGTCGTCGGCAGTTTGCAACGGGGTTCGCGACTGTGATGACGGATCCGACGAAGCCTTGTGTAAGCCCGCAGTCAAGGGCATCGACGTGCCTCAAGCAACTCGTTTGCTGTCTTGACTTGCAATTTGAAAAATTAGTAGAAAATTACAAGAATCGAACCATTATTTGTGGGTCTCAAGTCAGAAAAGATAAGAAGAAAGTTTTTCCCCAACCTGTGATACAAATTTCGACGAAAGGAAAATTTGCTTGTTTATTATGGAATTCTTTCAGAAGTGTGTAGGGGGGGAGAAAGAAGTGAAAAACATGTGATAATTCATTGTTCCTTTGCCGCGGTTGTCACCCTTGTGTTCACGCAGGCGTATTTTTTTCGTGTGTTGTAATTAATTTTACTCTTTTCCTTTGGATGGGAAAGAAAAAAAAAGATGATCCAATTTGGAAATCTTAGTGCCGAGGATGACATTATTGTTGGGACGATGTTTTTTTCTTTTTAGTGTCACCAAAATTTATTGTGGATGATATAGAGAAAAGAAATGTGAAGGATATTTCGAACATGTCAAATTTATTTTTGCGCAAAATGGAACAGAAACATCATAAAATTTGTTTCCACCCACCCAAAAAAAAAACCCCCATTCACGGACAGCATCATTGACTAGAGGGACACAATCGTTCGATCGTGAAGGGTCTCTCGCCATGCTACCGCCAATGAATGGGGGGTCATTTTTAGGGTGGGTGAACCCTCCCATTCACAAACAAACAGAGTCATACTGCTGCCAATGAATGGGAGAAGTAGGGCAGGGAAGGGTTTCTTGTCCACCCTCGTTTGGGAGAAGTTCTTCCGCGGAGTAGGGTTTCTTGTCTACCCTCTTCGGGGGGGGGGGGGGGAGTCCTTTGGCAGGGTAGGGTTTCTTGTCTACCCTCTTTTGGGGGAGTCATTCGGCGTGGTAGGGTTTCTTGTCTACCCTTTCTTGAGTAGTAGTTGTGCTGCGCTGATTCCCTTTCGGAACCAGTAGGAATAAGTGTAGGCAAACAGATCCAGGGTGCTGTGGCGTGGGATCCCAAATCCGACATCTTGATGCACTCCTTGAAGTCCTCCTTCCCGAGCGAAATTTGCACGTCAATCGGAGGCACCTGCATCAACCAAGGATTCATATAATTTCACTTTCTCGAGCATCTTACGGTTGTGGAAAATTCTCAAGTTTCTCCAATTCATAACAAATCATGGAAATATACACTTTCTGTCCATCTTGAAAATGAGTCCAGGGGAAGATTTGTTCCTCACAAAATTGAAAATTTCATTTTTTAATTTGTTATTACATTGCTATAATAATAATTATGATGTTCAAGATTTTCTCATAATTATATCAATATGCTATAATCATGAGAAGATTTTGATATACTGTATTACCAAAAAGAAACCTTACTAGAAAACTGGATACTCAAAAACTGAATAAGCAAAGGTAAACTATGAGATATTCGAAACAAATATTACTGTATTACGATTGAATAATAATAAAACTTTCTATTCGATAGTAGAGGCAACTCACCAAAACCTTGAAAGAAAAAAATAAATCCTTGCAGCATTGAAAAAAGTTCCCTCGCCTCTTCTCCCGGACGCGTTCAAAAGATGGACACTTCCTGCAGTGCTACCAGCCTTCAGGTACATCAATATCTCCCTGCAAGTGGCACACCTGGCGGCTCTTCTCGAGAGGAGGAAACATCAGAAGCACCAAAAGGAGTTGCAAAAGGGCGAAAAACTAGGGGGAGGAGGGGAAGTCACTTTTCTTTCACTATCACTGTTTCACGTAATGAGAACCCTGCGTCTTTGAGACTCGTCGCACTCGGCAGCTCGGAGATGTTGCGACGAGGGTAGCCGGCCATCAGGGCGTATTTCGAGGACGGGAACCCCAGGCATTCCGCAAAAGTTATCACAGCCTGCAAATGAGAGAAGAATTCAAATACTTGAAATTATATAATTATACACAATATATATATTATATAATTATAATTTATTATATATATAACACAATATATATATTATATTATTATAATTTACAAGTATATTATAAATATTGTATTATATATACAGTATTACATTAATTTATAATATACAATTATACTTTACTGTATATACTGTATTATATTATTATAATATATTACAATTATAGTATATTATATAATTAAAGTATATTATATAATTATAGTATATTATATAATTAAAGTATATTATATAATTATAGTATATTATATAATTATAATATACAATTATATTATACTATCTAATTATAATATATAATTATATTATTTAATATATGATTGAAATTGAAAACATGCATGAAAAGAATCTCAAATCAATTTCTATCAACAAAGATATGCTTGAAATCTGAATAGGTCACATCAGGCACAACAAAACGCTATTTCAGAATTTTTCTCACATTTTCTTCTGAAAAATCATTGTACTTGATACAATAAATGAAGTAAACTGCATTACTGTACTACATGATCACGGATTTTTCACAACACATTGTTTTGCTGAAGTTCCATTCAAATTGAATCTTTCAAATCATATGCAGTCAACCCCTAATTCAGTGCCACCCAAAAATTCCTTGTCTCATGGCATAAAAATCGGTACAAAAAAAAAAATTTTATGCCTGAAATTGTTGAATTCATGGAGGTTTTACTGAGAAGCACAGTTTGAGTGAGCACAAAAATTCAAAACATGTATGAATGTCTCATGTTCACAGTAACATCTTTCAAAATTTTCATACTTTCAAGACCTTCATACTTTTAAGAGAGTTCTATTACAATGATCTTTTCGGGAACACTGGATTTTTACTTGATAGCACCTGTTGTAAAACTTGAACTTTAAAAAACTAAATGGAATCAGAAATAAGCCTTTTGAATTTATTGCTGCAGTGAGGAGAGAATTTGTTTCAATGAAATATTCCCTAACCCAAATCTTTCTCATGTTGGTCTTGGGACAGCTTTGACTGACTTCTAAGTTTCTTGTTCGCATGAAGTTTCAAACAGGTTCCAAAAATAATTATGAGCAATCTCTTCCCTGATCCCTTTGGCCCCTCAAACATTGCAAGGTGCTAGAAAAGCTTCAGCTTTCAAAAAATTTTAACCAAAAAAAGAGGGTATCCATGACAAATTGAGTGCATGCTGATTTTTTTTAATGCTCTTTATTTCTGCATGGAAGATGGCAGAGAATTCTCACTCATTCATTTTCATTTCCCCTTTTGAGTAAAATTTTGTCAAAATTGTCTTTGGTGATGACTTGAGCAGAAAAAAGACTGCTAACAAATGCAGAAGACCTCAAAATCACAAGGAAAAAATGCTAAAGCTCTTAAAGGGTTCATGATTAAAGCTCACAATTTCCAGGGACAAATATAAACTTGTAAAACCAGATCAAAGTGGTTTTGCTAAAAATTTATTTCTTCATGACAATTTGGAGGCAGAATCTAAAAACTCCCCTACCCTACAGAATTTTTATTTATGCTGCCTCACATCATAAATGCATTATTCTGCTGAAGTTTCAAAATGGTCCCCATGCAAACCTTGGCAATTGAGTCAAAATTACAATGCTGATTTTGAGAAACTTTTCACAGAATTGGATAATATTAGCTGGAGCTGACATGGAATCAAAAATTTGTCACTGTTCATCAAATGTGTGTTTGAATGATTTAAAAGAATCCAAGGAACAGGGACATTTTGGTTGGGTCATTTTTTTCAGTCCTGTAAAGATTTGGCTGCATATTTCTGAAGGGTGGCCCAAGTGACTTCATCATTGATCCAACTTTGTGGCAGTGTTTGGATGGCCTCCACAAAAGAGAATTTCCATATCTGAAACAGCTAATTCATTATTCAAAACATTGAACCATGACTTCTTCTTGGAACCATTACTTCCCTAGCATATGGATGTATAACATTGATGCTAAAGAAAACACTTTTTCTGCAAAAAAAGGTGCAACATTATAATTTTTAAACATTTTTTTCTGTCTTTTGTTCTCATAGAACATAATTGGGGACCTATAGCAATGTAAACAAAATAGGTCTGCCTCAAAACCTATATCTTTTGCTCACAAAACCATTTTTTGATGGCAAACCTATTTTGTTTACAATGCTTTAGGTCCCCAATTATGTTGTATGAGAACATAATATGAGAACAATGTAAACAATGTAAAAATTTTCACATTTCTTTATGTCCCCAATTATGTTCTATGAGAACAAAAGACAGAAAAAAGTGTGTAAAAATTAGAATGTTGCACCTTTTTTCAGAAAAATAATTATGTTCTATGAGAACAATGTAAACAAAATAGGTTTGCCGACAAAAAAAAGATTTTGTAAGCAAAATAAAAAAGGTTTTGAGGCAAACCTATTTTGTTTAAATTGCTTTTATAGGTCCCCAATTATGTTCTTCAAGTTTGAATGTATCATTAAATATACAATTGTCGCTTTCAATTTCAAAATATGACTACAGACATTTTATTGAGGAAAAATAGATCATGGACAATGCAAATAAATGAAATAATAAAAAAGGTAAGGGAAGAGCACCTGAATCTGAGAAGAATGTGGCATTGAAACCACCGTTTTTCTGCCATCTGGAACCCGGATCATCAGCTCAGACACTGCATCTGACAATTCCAAAAACAATGCTTGAATTTCCTTGACTTTCTAAAAAAAATATACAGATCACAAGAGTTTTTCAAACCTTTGTCAGATCCCAAAAACGTTTTCCAAGCATCAGATTTTGCTTCCAAAGCTCCCAGAGAAGACAAAGAGTCATCAGATGCTGAACTGCCAGATAATCCCTGCAAGAAAAAAATACATTAAGACAAAAAGGAAAAGCAGATTTGAGTAAGCATATCAAATAATTGACAGAGCAAAACAATACTCACTGACTGCAATGAATTTCCAACAGTATGCACATCACCATCCTGTAGAAAAAAAATATTTGCATGTAACTCCCTCATTCCTAATATCAACAAAACAAAAATAGTATGATAAAATTATGTCCTTCAATGATAATTAAATTCTTTCTGCAAACAAATCTGAGGCTTTCATCACCTTATTCACTCAAAATTTGATGAGCACAGATTAACATTTTCTACAAGTAAATGCTTCAGATATTTGAAAAATGTTCTCATTCAAATTCCCACTAAAAATGCATGTAAAGCAGTTCAAAAAAATAAATTAAATCAATTTTTTCTTTCAAAAGGCAACAAATGAAAAAAGGTCTTATTATACCTGATCACTCAATGATTCAGAAGATTTTGAAACAAAAGTTGTGCTCCCCAAGAGAACTTGACTCAAAATAAAATGGTGACTAATTCAGTTAACTCACCATCAACTTCCCAGAAGTTGATCCTGGTTTCCCATTCAACTCAATCTTGCTGATCTGAAATTTTAAAAAATATATAAAATAATCAACAAAAGTTCAAAAATTGTTTAACTGAAGAAACTCACATTTTTAGACACTTCAGCCACTGTTTGCTTTGGCTCATCAGCATCATTAGGATTTGGCCTGTCTCCCAGGAAGTCATTGAGCAGCTGATAAACCACATCAGCATCTGTGGTGTCCCATGTCACCAGCCTTTCCCCAGTCCTTGGATCAATCACACAATAACTGGGCCACTTCTCCACAGGATAAAAGTTGAGGAATCTTTCCCCTTCCTCAGACTTCATTGGTACCTGAAGTGAAACATAACCAAATCACACACTGATCAAGAGATTCAAGAATAAAAAACTTGAATTGAATGATGAAACAAGTAAATTTCTGAAATCAAAGGAAAAATAGTAACATGGTATGCAAGTAAAACATGGTAGTTGTCTCCAAAAATTCAAAACCACTACAATTCAAAAAAGTCCCCAGATGAAATTTTAAATAATCCTAAAATAAAATTCAAAAAATCACTGAAAAAATTTAAAAAATCACCAACAAAATTCAAAAAATCCTCAAAAAAAGTTTCAAACATTTTAATAAAATTCAAAATCCCCAAATAGAATGTTAAAATATCCCTAATAAAATTTGAAAATCCCTGAATGAAATTCAAAAAATCCCTAAATAAAGGTCAAAAATCCCTGAATGGATTTTTAAAAGAAAGCCTTGAATAAAATTTTAAAAATCTCTAAATAAAGGTCAAAAATCTCTGAATCAATCTTAAAAGGCCTTGAATAAAAATCAAAAAATCCCCAAATTAAAATTTTTCAAAATGGCCACACTCTAAATTGATGCCACACCTGCCAGAAAATGAAGTTCTCCCTGATGAGCGTCTTGATCCTCTCGTCATACCACACGTCCCTATTCAGCACTTTACAAGCAAACTCCTGCTCATTATGCACGTCCACCAACAACCAAACATTCACACCTGCCAGAAAATGAAGTTCTCCCTGATGAGCGTCTTGATCCTCTCGTCATACCACACGTCCCTATTCAGCACTTTACAAGCAAACTCCTGCTCATTATGCACGTCCACCAACAACCAAACATTCCGCTGCGTCCCAGCGTCTCTGGCTTGCAAAAATCCCCGCTCAAACATTATGTCCGTCGGCGGTGCAAAAAGATCGTCAAATCGTCTCGGTTTATTCATCATCGTTCCTGTCGACGTCGTTGGTACAGTTGAAATACCGTCTTCCGTCGACGTCACCGCCGTCGCAACTAGAGGCGGTGCCGCAACCGCAACCGCCGCCGCCTGCAGTCTGCTTGGCGGTGGAGGCGGCGGTGGTTGTGGTGCCAACACTGGTTCCGGGGCGTCATTGTCAAATTCCAGAAGCAATGCTGTGTCAAGATCGTCATTGCATGCCTCCAACATACGCTCTCCGTGTTCACGGGACTTCCCTGAAAAAAAAAAAAAAATCAGCACCTCGGACAACGCACGCTTCGTATAACGGATTCCCATCAGAAAACCAATAAACGAAAAAAGAGGTAGCCTGAACACGAGCATCGTTTCAAAACAATTGATTCAATAAACAAGAAAAAGTTAAAAAAACAAAAATTGAAAAAAATCTGACATTTTGAAAATAAAGCATAATAAAACAAATTTTCAGTTTCCAGGGGATGGTAATACAGTATTTATGTGCTACTAATAAAAAAGCATCTGGTACTTGTGTGAATACAATACCATATTTTAATGTAGTACCACAAGTACCTTCTTCTTCAAGAAATCAGATCAAAAAGTATTTTTCTCAAGTGCCTTTTTCTGACATTTTTTCACATTTTTGGAGCACACATTTAATCAAGTTCAAAGAAATGACTATTTTAGAAACGAAAATCGAAAAAAATATGAATTCCTACTGAAATCACAATTGCAGATAACAACAAAAACAAATGCACAACAATTCAGTTACAAATTCTAGCTTGAACTCACAAAAATAAATTAAATTTTTTCGCGTCACAGAAAACTGAGTCTTATCTAAAATGAAAAAAAAGACTGGGTTCAGAAATTTGACAACTCACCAGTGATCTGGCAGTACTGCTCCACCAGTTCTGCCCGGGACCGGGCTGCTGACATCCCCACAAAAACCCAATTTTCACCACAGAAAAAAAAACACACCCTGGACAAAAAAACAAATTGAATCATCGCAATCATCAATGGAAACTTCAAATAATCATAACTCAAACCGCATTAAACAAGACAGATTCGAAAGAAAAAAACACACTTCTTCCTCGTAAAAAATAAATCACATGACGCGTTGAACTTTCTTCGTCCGAAACAAATCGAATCTGAATTCAGCCCCTGGTCCCGGAACAGGTGCCAAAAGCTCATTCCACGCAGCATCGATTCCCAGGGTCTTGGCGCGACTCTGAACACCCGTCAACACACCACGCAAAGGGTTCTTGTCCAGGTCAAAGGAGAACTCGGGTCCGAACTCGGGTAACTGGCCCGAAACCCGGGTTTCTTCGGGACGAAGTTGGGTTCGGATGGGTTCCACGGGTCTCACTGAACACACCTCTGTCGAACCACGCGGAGTTTGTAGCAGATCTTTCATAAACTTGCGGAAGTCTTGCTTGAATTGCGC